TTTTGTTTTGATTTTTTTGATTTTTTTTTTCCTTAAAAGCGTCCAATTATTGGTGTTTATTGACTTAAGGTGCGATTCATGCAAGCAATTTTCGCTTCAACTTGTGTCGCAATTAATACAAGTTGCATGGAGGATTACAGCGTGTAACCTACAGTGCAATTTGCCAAAAGTAGAATTCGTTTCTACTTTTGGCAACGATTGCATCTCCGTTGCACCGTGTACACGCTCTCGTAACTTGTGTTGCAACGCCGTTGCGAGACAAGTTGCAGAGAAAATTGCTAGCTCCGTATAACAGCGACTTTAGCCACGTTGGCGCTCAATCACCTTGTTGCCTTGACTCTAAAGAACGCCCGACGGAATTATTTATTAGGTAATCACCTTGATACAGAATGGGCAGATGGCCCTTTTAAGATAAAAGATCCAATCCACAGAATGTCGCAAATAAGGAAAGTGAAAGCGCAAAGGAAAGTAAAAACATTTTAGACACGGAATTTTTAAAATGTCGTCAGACTGACTAATCCAAATGAAGGGATGGAAGAATCGGGCGAAACTTGCATCTTTTTCCTTCTCCTCTTAATTACCAGCAAAGCGGAAAGAAAGATAGAAAAGACAAACAAAAAAATAAATTTTCAAACACGGAATTTTATGAATCTTCGCGCCACAAAATCCGTATGAAGGCAAGGAAGAATCTGGGGAAGTAACTACTTTTTTCTTCTTGTAGTTTAGTAACTGTATACATATCCTTTTCTTTGTATACAGTATGCTGAAGTGTTATCAGCAAAGAAAGTAAGATAGGAGCAGAGCTTGAAAAACGACAAATTATAATGATTTTCAAACGTGGAATCTTGAAACGTTTGTTGTCACAAAATTCGAATGAAATCCTAAGGAAGAGGAAGAGGAAGAGAAAGAGGGAGAGGAAGAGGAGGAAGAAGAAGAAGAAGAAGGAAGAAGAAGAAGAAGAAGAAGAAGAAGAAGAAGCTAGAAGAAGACTAAGAAGAAGCTCATTTTTTTCACTAGCTCTTTCTTCTCAGTTCTTCTGTAGGGAGATAATGAGAAAAAACTAGCGTACTGCGTACTAAATACCTATTCGTAGAGATTATAAAAAATACTAATGGTAAATATGTGAAATAGATAGATCGAGTCATATAAATACATAACACACACCATGAATGCACACGGCGTCCATACAGCCACCACGCATAGAGGTAGATAAATTATTTATAAACGTTAACATACCTTCAATCTCAAGTGAGTAAAACCCGTTTTGGATACAAAATGTTCTTGAAAGTCCGTCCTTCCATAGCCAAACATCTCGCATTGGACTTTCCCAACATTGCTTGGATCTTCTCCATAGTTGACGGACAAACATCGAGGGTTTGTTGTGCAAAGCTCCTGACATTCTGTGTCGCTATCAACCTCGAGATGAGCGAGGAGAGAGTCATTTCTTTGCAAAGCAAAGTTGCTTTTCTTTTGTACGAAGTTTCCAAAAACGAAAGTTCCATCTTTTGAAAAATACTCAGTAACTTGAGCAAGGCTAAAACCAATTCCGAGAGAAATAAGAATCAAGATTTTTTGCCGAAAAGAAGACGAAAATTGACTCTTTGAATTAGGCATGACAGTTTTGGGTGTGCGTACCGACGCAGCGAAGAGGCAGTGAAGAATCAAGTCCTATCTAAAGTTCATGCAATACGTATACTAGGTGTAAAAAGTCCTGCTGATGGAAAAACAACACAGCTATGTTGACGTCATCGATAGAAAGCTCTCTTATTGGTCTTTCTCTGGGTTTTTTTCTTTCTTTCTTTCTTTTTTTATACATATTTATTCATTTTTTTAAATTTGCGCTGTTTTCTTTGTTTCTTGCTATCAATTACTAGTACTAGTCATCCTTTTATTCTCGTTTAAGATTTATATTTTTTTCCAGTAAGAAAGAAAGAAGGGGAAAAAGAAACGATCAAAGAACGAAAGGAGAAAAGAAGTAAGAAAGGAAGGAAGGAATAAAGGAAGGAAGGAAGGAAGGAAGGAAGGAAGGAAG